AACAGAGAAAGATTCCCGATATTACCTCAGAGCTCCACACAGAAACACATACATGTGTGCCAACACCCAAACACACATGAACACATGCATACATACCACACACACAAACATGAAAGGGAAAAAAAGTACCTCTCTTGTACTTTTTCTGAGGAAGCTATTGAAAGAGACGGTTACCTAAAACAAGAGAAAAACCCAAGAAAGAAGGCAGAAAACAGAAGACAAGGAGTCCAATGTCAGAGCCAAAGGGAATCCCCAAAGTAGAAATAGAGATTCCAGGATGACAGTGATACCTCAGGATGTAGAGGACATCTCAGCCAGATCAGAGCAGCTCTGTAAGAGTTTCAAAAAGATATAAGGGATAGAGTACTTGACACATGTAAAGGTAAAAGTTAGCCGGGTGTGGTGTCACACGCCTTTAGTCCCAACACTTGGGAGGCAGAGGCAGGCAGATCTCTAAGTTCAAGGCCAACCTGGTCTACTTAGTGAGTTCCAGGCCAGCTGGGGCTACATGGAGACCCTGTCTCAAAAAGAACTAAAAAATAGAGATTAAAAAATAAAACCCGGCCGGGTGTGGTGGCGCACACCTTTAATCCCAGCACTTGGGAGGCAGAAGCAGGCAGATCTCTGTGAGTTGAAGGCCAGCCTGGTCTACATAGTGAGTTCCAGGACAGCTGGGGCTACAGGGAGACCTTGTCTCAAAAAGACCAAAAAATTGAAAATTAAAAAAAAAAAGTAAAACCCTAGTTTTTCTAGGTGAGAAGAACAGAAATCAATTGTTGTAATTACATAAGCATGTTGCTTAAAGATGTGAAGGGAAAAGCAAAAGAATCCATGAACATATGAAGATAAGTTTTACTCATGAAATTATGAAATCTGCAGGAAAACGGGTGGAAGCTGAAAATGTTCTATGAAGTAACCCAGGCCCAGAAGGACAAACACTGTGCATTCTCTCTCACATGTGGCTTCCAGCTTAGCAATGTTAGATTTGTGTGCTTAACCTGTAGTGTCTACAGAGGTCAGAAAGCTAGAGAGGGCCCATGAGAGTAGGATGGGAAGGGTACATGTGACACAACAATAGGGGAAATACGGGGTTAGATCATGATAGGAGTTGGAGACAGGTGGAGATGGATTAACCAAAACTACGGATGTATTCGAAAATCCTTTATGGAAACCCACTACTTTATAAGCTAATTAAGAGTGGTTGCTGCTCTTGCAGAGGACCTGAGTTCAGACCTATATGCGGGGGGGGGGGGGGGGGAATCTGGGATCACAACCACCTATAATACCTGTAACTCCTGTAACTAAGGGATTCAACACCCTCTTCTGGCCTCTGTGAGCACTCATACACATGTGACATTCACTCACACAGACACATAAACATACTCATAAATAGAAATAAATTTTTAAAATCTTGTCTAAAAATATGAAATTATCTAGCATTCCAACAAGCTAAAATGAAAAAATACCTGTCATACAATAAAGGACCAGGAGATATGCCCAGAAACTGAATAATGAAGCCCATAATGAAGAGAAAAGTCAGTGGAAACTGACACATAAATGATATGAATAACAGACTGAACTCACAAGGACATGAAAAGTTGCTACAATCCATTGTTCAAGGAGGTAGGAGAAAGATTACAAATGTCAATAGAGGTAAGGAGGACATTTTAAGCCCCAAA